TACATCTTCATGCTCATGTTCGCCACGCTGCATTTCCCTTTCCTTGCCAAGCGTCTTTCAGCGGCGCTTGAAGATTGCAGCTCTTCTTTTGCGAGCTGGGTCTGGCAGTGGGCCAGTGGTAAAGTCGGGACATGTGTTCCACTCTAAGGTCTATTCCACTTTCGCACCTGGGTTGCTGAGTGTGCATGTGCTAAGGAAATCTAGGTCATGATGGATGCCGGCATTTCAGTGGCACAATTGTGACACAAACCCACTTCACACAGCTCCACACTCACCTCCTTCAGCAATCCTTCGATCGTCTGCTTCTCTTGCTTCTGTGCGTCCAAGGCCTCAGCTCGGATCAAAAGGAATTCATGGCCCTGTTGCCGCCTCTAAACAAAAGGTCGGCGTTCCAGCACCGCCCTGCAATGGTCCTCAACCTATTGAATGCAAAAAATTGGATAGTACTATGTAGTGTATTCAATTAGGACTCCAAAACCTTCTGTGACGACCTTTCTCACATTACGAGGGCCTGGGTTCAATGTGCAGGGCCAAGTGGCAGAGTTGGTTTCTGCCAGCTCTGTCTGCAACCTCTGCTCTTCAGCTCTGCCCCGTTCACGCTCATTCTCCAGCTCCTTTCGAAAAATGACTTGGCATGTGAACCAGTGGCGCAGAGCAGTTGGAATCTCTCTATCACATACGATTCATGAGCTGCATCTCCTCTCTTCCAAATATGCTGGCAGGAGTCTGAAAATACCGCAACTGGATCACCCAATGCCCTCAAAGCAGTTTGAACAAGTCTTCTTCTGAACGCAGGGTGCGGGGGACCATGGATACTGAACGGCCAAGCCATGCTGTGGAACTTTTCCAAGTATCACATACCCCCACACGTTCCAAGGTGATTGAATTCCTTCCAATGAGCTTGGGAGTCTATGCTAAGACCAGGAACCTAAGGTGAGTCGAGTGAGACTTCCGAGACATCATGTGACACCCACTCCTTCTGAAGCTCTTGGTGCCTGGGATTCGGCACTATGAGCATTGTTCAAAGATCTCAAAGTGGAAAAAAATGCTGTTGAACACCCATCCGAAGTGACATTAGGATGTTTAAGAACCAATGTCACAAATGCCTTACCAATGACTGCACCCATCCAAAGATATAGTGTGATCCTTCGGCAAACTTTGGCAGTTGGCAAACTGGGCGTCCCGAGCTGCTCTTCAAGCTTGGCGGCAGCAGCAGCTGCTTCACACCTGCGTCTTGACTGTTGGGACGACGGTTTCCCATGTGCCCACCCGCCCTCCTCCAGCAGCTAGCAGCTAGCAGCTATGTATATGTCCGTTCCACTGGATCAGCTGATGTCCCCCGTTGAAACGCTGTGGCTTAAAGAGAACATGGTGGACCCACCCTACAGGTCCTCGGTTTTGCCCCTTCAGGTCCTGGATTCTAGCCCGAAACATCTGCAACAACCGAAGCCAGGAGTTGGTAGGGTCACCAACCCCACGTTCTGAACCCCAATCAATAGCATCCCAAATCGTCGAAATCCTGAGTCTGCAGCACAACTCTCTGAAAACCAAGAAAATACACAGAACATCACAGAACCTTCGGACCCCACATTCCAAAGCCCAGAATGGAAAAAAGAACTGACGTCGTGGGAAAACGTCGCTCATTACAGTCACCACACCATGGCAGCTCCGTCCCCTGACGTGCCATCGCGCGTCACGTCGTTTCGCGCCGTTCGCTCCGTTAGCGTCCGCGTCGAGCCCTCCACCCCCGGGTGAGCATCCGCCATCGGCCACGATGGATGCGCTGCATCCGGGTGACAGGGCGTCCCGGTGCTGCTGTTCCATCATGGCCACCTGCGCGTACGAAACGAGATGAGTTCCGAGTGTTCCGAGTGTTCCTCGCGCGGCGCGGAGGCGACGTTCCCGCAGGGCATGACAAATGGAGAAACCCGCCCAGCGCTGGGCCCTGAGGGTTCACAAACTGAATAGCAAGAATTCGGTGATATCGAGCAATCGCCCAGGCGACCCAGTGTTGCTATGTTTTTGCGAGCGTTCCAACTCTCCTCCTCCATCCATCCTCCCGGACCAATGAAAGCCAGCCGCCTTCGAGGCAAACTCGGCCTGCGCTTGTCGACCTTGGCTCACCAGAAGCCAGGCTCTCACCAGCGGCCACGCTCCGGACGTCGCACCCAAAACCAATCAGGACTTTGGTGAGGTTGCTGCGAGCTGTGAGCTCTCGAAATCAATGAGAGACTTGACTCTCTTGTGAAGAATCTGGTTCATGGTCATGTAGGCCTCGTCGCCCCTTCCTTGCCAAGCGTCTTTCGGCATCGCTTGAGGATTGCAGTTCTTCTTTTGAGAGCTCGGCCTGGCAGTGGGCCAGCATGGGCCAGCGGTATTGCTAGGACATTGCAACGCTGGAGTCAAGGAATTGTTCCTCTGCCATTAAGCGTGTGTTGAAGTTGTTCCACCTTCCCACTCAGCGTGCTGAGGGATTCCAGTCGAATCATCTAGCTGTTGGCCTTACGCCGAGACTGCCCACTCAACTCCCACCTCCTTCAGCAATGCTTCAAACCTCTGCTTCTCCTGCTTCTGCCCTTCGAGAGCCTTGGCGCACACATGAGCCCTGCCATGGATTGTCGGCGCATGTCCCTCAGAAGGAACCCAGAAATGACAACAGAATACACCCCAGCCAAGTGACCGCATTGGTTTCTGCAAGCTCTGCCTGCAGCCTCCCTTCTTGAGCTTGGCTGCGTTCACGCTCATTCTCCAGCTCCTTCGCAACTTCTTAGCATGTCTGTATAAAGCAGCACTGCGTGGTGGGTGGCTATCAAACATGTTTGTTCTTTGTGTGAGTGGTCAGTGGTGAGCATTCTTAAAAAAAAGAACGCGGACAACCAGTGTATTGCAAAGATTATCTTATTGTGGGAAATGCCAGGCCATGCCCAGCTCCATTGCCCTACTGGCAACACTAGGTATGTCGATGCGAAGGCTGGGCAAACAAAGTGGTTGGTTCGCGAAGACTTCAGATGAGATTCTTGACGTTCATCTTTCATCCCTACAACCTGCACCAACCCAGCGGAAGTTCCACCCTGTCCTTCTGAAGCTCTTGGCGCCTCAAGTCTTTTGGTGTTGCAAGATCAACACCCATCTATTGGAAGAAGTGGCACTGCCAGTTGCGACTGTCAGCATCTGCATAATCTGCATAAGCTGATGGGGTAAACTGTGAGACAGCAGCTGCGTTGCTTTCTTGCTAGGTGTGACCAAGAGGGCCACGTCTCTACCACTAAACATCACTAGACCACATACTATGCATGTCGAGGCCCCAGGCCAACCCTCCTGCCAACCACGTCTCTGGTGCCTGCTCGACCTGCCTCCAGCCACCTCCCAAGACCCCCAACTGATCCAGAAGCTGTTGAGCTTGATCGGCCGCGTCAAGCCTCAGCCAGGGACTCAAACACCCCACCCGTGGAGGTCCCAAGACCAAGAGGCCCCCCCCCCCAAACCCGCCGTGATGCTTTATTGGGCCCCAAGTGAACCTATCGAGGCGGAAGCAGCCAAGCTGCTGTCCACGTTTCATGATGTTTGACACCACCAAAATCGCTGGCTCGTTGGTTGAATTCTTTGCAGGCCATGACTGCTGTCCGCGTTTGCCGAACGGTTTTTTCCCCGAATGTCGGAGGACGTCTTCCGAGTCCGTCACTATACCGTCACGATTTGGGAGTGGAACGCGCTCGGAGCCGTCCTAGGCGCTGAGTCTATGTATGCATGCATCCTCTTAAGCCGTGCAGCTGAAAGTCCCTGTGCTGCTTTTCCATCATGGCCAACTGCCGAAACAGCTCGCCGCGAGGAAACATCGACCGGCTCGCCGGGCGAGTCGCCGTCGGGATGGCGACCGTCGATGTCGACGTTCTGTATACGAAGCTGTTCATGACTGGTGAGACCGGTTGTGGGGAATGAGGGAAGAAAACCCCGACAAAAGACACCATCCATGAGACAACTCATCAGGAGTCAGCTGAGTTACACCCGGGAAGAGACCCCCATGGAACCTGAAGAGATGCACCTTTGGACCACGATTTTTTCCTCTGCAACTCAGTGGTTTTCAGGTTCCGCGTTAATTTTCCAGAGTGTAGTTTTGACATGTTTTGACCACCAACCACCTCCAAAACAATGTTCCTTTCCAATCACCAGGTGTCATGTTCTTGGGCTCGAGGTATCTGATGCTTCTTTGGGGGCCGGCCCAAAAAACGAACCTGAACCCAAAAAAAGATCCCCCTTATATAATCAAGGGGGTGAGGTGGTGGCCATCATTCTGTAGGCTGCATTTTAAGGGGTGTAATGGTGCATATATATATTATATATATATATGTTTATGAAAAAGACATGAACTCCCATGAACTCTTCCCAGCCACGGCCTCCGACAAATCGACACCGCCCCTTACGGCCTTGGACTCAAACGTGGCCTGCGCCTCGCGACCTGAGCCGAGCGGTGGGTGCGAGCTGAGCGGTGGAGTCAGTCTATGATGAGTAGCTAGCAGCAGGATGTGAGACTTTTGGGATGAGAACAGCCCAAATCCATTGCCGGGCGTCTCTCTGCAGCACTGGACGCTTCAAATGCTTCTTTGGCCAGCTGCGTCTGGCGCGGCCAGAGCGGTGGGAGCGTTGAAGAAATGGGACTCATAGGAACCCAAGAAGCTTTCCCTACAAATAGGGATTGTCATCGCTGTATTCCAATATGTAGCCAGACCCCCAGCTCTCTATGTTTGCTGTTCCTATGTCCAAAGTGGATCATAAGTGGTTCTTTGGAAAGCTCCCTGAGGTCTCCCCAGTCTGATATACACTCATGTCCAACAACAACAACAACAACCACAACAACCACAACCACAACCACGACGACGACGACGACGACGACGACGACGACCACCACCACCACCACCACAACAACAACAACAACTGCATCTGTGTGATGTTCGACACCCCAACGCAGGAATGTGGAGGATACCGCTGGATCTTGGAACACAGTACTCACAGCTCCCTAAGCAAATCGACTGTGTGACCAATTTGACCATCCAAAAGCGACGTGACCTAAATAGTGCCCGCAAGGGCCTTCCCGGAATTGGGACAAAGTGAAAGCAACCGGCAAGCGACGCGTCCTATCTGCCAAGCACGAACCAAGCAAAGAAGTTACCAATTACCTCCCTATTGAACCATCCTCCATCCAATTAGGACTCAACTCAGGAAGAAAACCCACCTCCTTCAAAGTTCCTTGGATCATCTCCAATTCCTTCACTTTGCCTTCGGTCGCCTTGGCCGTTTCAGCATCACCAGGTCCGGAGTGGCGAAATCAGCTTCCGGGGCACGGGCACGAAATCAGCTCGGGGCAGGTCGGTCAGGACGGGATACGAGATGGGCAAAGTTACAAACCCTGACTCCCTCAGTTTTCCCTTGAAAAATACGGTTATGATGTAACCTTTTTCCATCTGTTCGTATTTTTAGTGGGGAAACCAATCCCGAAAACAAGGTTAGAGGTGATCCATGCACTGACTGGGTAGCAACCTGAGAGTGCCCTACTCAGACCTTCGCAGCGAGACGCTCCTCGCACCACCCTCCGAATGATCTCAGAGATCACCGGCATGGCCGGTGACTGAGAGAGATGTTGGCATGACATGGCATGACGGACGGTAGAGGCACATCCCCTACACCTCCAGTGGTACCTCCTCGGGTTCGGTTGACTGGACCCTGGCACCCACCCCTTCTACCCCTTCTCAGGTTCTGTACGGTCCGTTCCACGTTGGCGCGGCCCGGCGAAGCTGTGCGAACGATCAGGGGGCGCGGAGCGCGTCGAACTCCGGGCCACGGCCAATCAAACCCTCCATTTGGATCCATTTGGTGTTGGAAAATGTTCCTCACATCCGGGGTTATGTTGAAATAGAAAGTATATAGACAGAATGGACATTGAAGAATGTCCCTTCGCCACTCACCGGAGCAGCTCCAAAAACCTCCTTTCAGGTCCAAGGTTCTGCACGTGCCTCCGCCAGCTGCCGTTGCAGCTCCTGTGCTTCGGCATCACCACGCTGGCGTTCCTGCTCCAGCTCCTGCGGAGCTGGGGCCACTCGGATGCTCTTTCTTCCTCTTTTGCAACAAGTGACAGGGATTGACAGGGTCTGTAGGTCTGTAGGTCTGGTACTGGTGTCTGGTGTCATCCTCTGAACCCGCCCGGTGTCTGCACATGTTGGCTCTGAACAACCCGCCCCAACATCCGTCCGCGAGGGACGCGCAAGCGTCATCGTCCAGTCCGCCAGTCCATGCGCCCGGTGGCCGGTCCCAGGTCCTGCTGTAGACCTCAGGCATCACATCATCGCCGGCTCTCGTGGCAAAAGCGATCTCTCTCTCTCTCTCTCAACTTGTAGGGCTGATTCGCGAAAGCTCATTCCCCCGACCGAGTGGGCATTGCCGGTACAAATGTGTTTACATGTTTTTACATCTCCATCATGTTGGGGGGGACTTTTGAACATGATTCCACTAACATGACATATTATGCTCTATTAAAATAAGTGGACTAATGAATGCCCTGTCCAGCCGAACCCGCATCAGCGTCCCGAGCCGGCCGAGCGCTCCCGAGCCGGCCGGGCGAATTCTCCAAGGCCCCAACACGACCAATGGGACTGGGATTGCCATACAGTTGCCGTTCAGTTGGGGAGGGTTGGATTGAGGCAAGGTATGCATATATATATATACGCATGATTACGCATATAGGCATATATTCCATACCATGGAGTGCCTGGACTATGGAAAACATTAAAAGACAAAACAAACCCGTGAAAAACATCTGATGCACCCGAGCTGCGATCGTAAGCGTCTTGCATCTCCTTCTGCTCTTGCTGGGAGCTTTGCCGAAATTCCGCCGCAGCAGTCGTCAGCTCCTGGCGCGCAGAAAACTGGCACCGCCACGTGACTGGAATTGACTTGGCGGGGAAAGCACCCCCATGAGGCCGCAAAGGGACCCGCAGCACTGTGCAGGTCACAGCACAGGGCTGTGTCCACCGTGCCTCTTGGCAATCTCTTTGCCAGCCCGTGCCATCTGCACCCAACTCCCAGCCACACAGCCGGCACCGAACACCGACCATCCAATTCCCAACAAGGGAGATCGAAGTGGAAGCAGTCGGACCACTCCGACCGAGTGCTTTTCCTTCGGTGTTCCTCGAGCGGCTTTCGCATGCCCCCCAACGCATCCGACGGTCGCCGACATCTCCTGGACTTGCTGCTCCTTGTGCTTCAGAGTGTCCAGGAGCTCCTGTCGGCCAGTTGAAGCCTTCAACCATCCAACAGCAAGAAATCCGGCACCGGAAAGTCTTGGCTGACGGGGGGCTCCAGGTGGTTGGGACGAGGATATCTGGCCTTCGTCTCTTCATCCAATGCCCTTTCACATGCTGGGAGCCTGCAGCATGCCCCTCTGAAACTCAAATCCCTGGAATGAAAGATCATGAAGCCTTGTCAAGGTCATGTGTCAAAATCTCAACCAACAACAGGAACTTGGACCTTGCTCATTCGCCCGAAGTAACAGGTTCTGGTCCACGACCCGGCGAGCGGACTCAACTACCCTCAGTGGCTGCACCCAACCAACCGTACCAAGAGCGGTTGAGAGACCGAAGAAAAGAGAGAAGGACCCTGTACTGGTGGGTACATATGGGATGGGCGACATGGGGGTTGTTCAACCTCTCTATAGTTATATATATTTGGGGTGTGGTATCCAATTGGTCGCCAGGTCGATGCTCCGTTCCCGACCCGAAGACGGGGCGGCCGCCAACCCCTGGGCGACCGGTCGCCGAACAGACCCAGCGCGTTCGGGCAGTGAGCGCCTCCTGCTTCTGCGACAACTCCTGGATCTGCAAAGACCTGGATCGCGACACCGGTGGCTGGCGCAGATCTGCAGTGGCCAGTGCAAGTGGCAGGGACTGGCTGCGGGCATCCACTTCGAATGCGTTCTGCATGTGCCCAAAGACTCCGAGTGTGGTCTTTCACTGCTCGTCTCTTCGCCCAGAAGGGGAAAGCACCTCCTCCAAGCAGTGGAAGCCACGCTACTCATGCAAGACAGAAGCTTCCGGAGGCTTGAAGGACCCATCACCACATTGAAGGACCCATCACCACATATCACTACCGCAGCCTTGGGCAGAGGAGGCCCTTGGCACTCGGTCTGTCCCCTTGGTCTGTCGACTGGGTGCCCCATGCTGCTTCTCCATCTCCTGTGCTTTGGCTGAAGCCTCGCGCCTTAAGGCACCATGACCAGGTTTGGTTGAGGACCCGCGGCGGTACGTGGTACCGAGACACATCCCAAGGCAGGGTATGAACCCAGGCAAAGCCCTGTGCTTTGGGCTGAACCAAGGGTTTCCGAGTTCAGAAGGAATCACCAGCAAATTGGGTCTGATGATGTATGATGCATGTGTATTGTTGGAGGGCTTGGAGAACGACAACTCCTCGACGAGTCTGATGCAGTCTGCATCTTCATCCCGCTTTCAGCTCTTGAGGACCATGTTGCACTGCAGGACCCGGAGAAAAGGAACAAAGCAATTGGCTGTGGGTCACAACCACCTGGTTGACCTACCCAGAAGGTCCAGCTACATGGTGGACTGGTAGGGCTCCAGGTTTTGACTCAGCCCCAATTAAATTTGGGCATTGCCCACACAACGCGCGAGTCGATTGCCCCGAACGGATGAAGGGCATGGCCAGCTGTGAGATCCCGGACTGGGATTCCTCCCTCTGCTTCTCCAGCATCGCCAACTGGCATCTCCGGTGCTCATTTGGGCCAAATTTGGGCAATCTGGATACGCTAAAGTAATTATATGTAATTACTATATACCCTGGGAGTCAAAGACTATAAAAAAGAATGGTCTGTAGGTGACCCGAAAAGGAATTTATTTCCTTAGCTTCAGTCGGTCAAAATATAGTCATTGGACTTCTAGGGTATAGGCCCCCAATTAGATTAAAAGATATTGATCAAGGTGGGTCCCCACTAAAAGATGTAATTATTGGAAACCGGTTCTATCTACTGTATTTTGGGGATCGCTTTTCTAGAAATCTAAGATATACTCTTGAAACAGTTTTCGCTGTCTCAGATGCTCGCCGGCCTGAGCTGCATAATCGGCCTGCGCTTGCCGACCTCAGCATGCTTGCGCTACTGACTCACCTGCTTGTCAACCTGTGCTTGGCGGCCAGGTTCTACTATATAGCCGCCTATATAGCTGTTTCAAGTGTCACTGGTGTGCTTCAGGGCAAGCCAACCCAAAAGCAGTTGACTCCAAAGATCTCCAAAGCTTCAAAGTGACGTCCAGGGTGGGCGAAAAGGCAGGCGAAGACTCACACCCCGAGCCGCTGAAGCAGAAGTTACTACCCTAAGGGCTGACGCTCTTCGACGCCCTTCAGATCCATTCTGCACCACCGGCCCTTCTTCACATCCCCCAGAACCCCCCACAACATACATCGATCATATGTTTGGAGACCAGCGGCTTTCAGCCATGCTGGAAGCTTCAAAGGAGTCTTTCGCGCGCTGGGTCTGGCCGAAACTGTGGGGGTGAGTCTTCAGGACGTCGGCTCGGGCGTGGTGTGTCGCGTGGCACGAACGAGGAATGCGACCAGATGGAAGATCAACAGGTCCGCTCTTCGCGTTGTTTGGGGGGGCTCCAGCTTGACCCCGGAGTCATGTGACAGCTTGCAGCTTTGAACTGTAGACTCTGTAGACTCTGTAGACTCGGGCTCTGTCGACCGATCCACTAGGACCAGGGGCATCATTTCGATCCGCATGTTTGCAGGGATGATCATGTGGATCAACGATGCACATGATGAAAAGACCAGGACTTACAGGATCCTTGTCCAAGCATGCTAAATACCCAAGCACGACACAATCCGGAAGCGCTAAGTGATAGCTACGCAGCTACACGAAACCCCTTGGCCTCCTTCAGAGCAGATTCAATCCTCTCCTTCTCCCTTTCTTGGTTTTCATTTGCCTTGGCTGTTCTTGCGCCAGGCTCCAGATCACGGCCCCGAAGGGAAAGCACCAAAGACAACACACACCAGTTAACGGGTCACCAATGGACAACCCTACACTATACTTGTCGGTCTTTATTGGGCACCCATTGGAAGACTGCTAGGCAGTTGTAAAAAATAATATACATATATATATATATATATATGTACAACCTTCGGTACACGGTGGTAGCGACAGTCAAGCGCACTTTTTCAGCAGCTGCAGTTTTGAACATGCCTGGCCGCCTGGCCCTTAGACTGAGAGGGGGTGCTATTCCAACTTGCTGCGTTCTCCTGTTGAGGCCCAGCTATAACTTGCAACTTTGCAAACTCTACAAGACAGGACGTTTGACATGCTCGCCCACACTCTTCTTCACAACTCTGTCGGTAGCTCGACTTGGTCAAAGGTCAGCGAAGTCCTGTTTCAACCTGTATGAACAAAAACCGTCGCATAGAATAGTTCTCCGGGCCCTCCGAAGTCCACCAGCTGAGAAGATACTTGGCACTTCTTCCCCACACCCTATGCACCAAACCTGGCGCGGTAGACCTCATGGCCGAGCGTCACTGTGTGCGCGGCCCAGCTGGTATTGCAGGTCAGCCACCTCTGACAAACGACGTTGGCGCTCTTGCTCCAGCTCCTGTGGTCGAATCAGTGGGATGCGTCTTCAACCAAATCCAAACATGGGATTTGGATGGTTGATGGATGAGCTAAAATATGTTTGGCTTTCAATTAGCTTCAAACTTGTTAATTGGTTAGGGGACGTTCCCCCAAGAGACCCAGATTCTACGTGGTCTTGAAGGACTCCCGACCAGCCTCCGGGTCCGAAAACGGCTGAGGTTAACCATCACACCCTCATCCGCCAATCCAACCACCCCCCCAGGATCCGATCCATGCTTCCAAGCATCGCTGCGTACCTCCAGCTGCTGCTTTTGCAGCTCCTGTGCTTCCGTTCTGGCCCGCTCGCGCTCCTGCTCCAGATCCTCGATCGACAACGATCGACGCGTCCGCAGAGCGCGACCGCACCGCCCCAAACGCCTCGACCGCACCCAACGGTCCTTCCGAAGTTCTTGCCGCCTCGGGAGGACGGACGTGAGGTCCGGTGAAATCTGAAGGTGAATCAAGAGATCACCAGAAATGGAAATGCCAAAGATTCCGGTGGAAATTGTTGAGGGGGGCCAGTTTGTCTAGGTGTTTTTGAGATTGTTTGGTAATTATGTTCGATATATTTCGATATGTCTGTTGGGTTTGGTATTGTTGCCTTTTTTGTTGTTCCACGGAGGTGTTGAAGCTTGTCCTCTGAATCTATCATCCCGACCAAGAATGATGAAAAGCACATACGCAGGAAACACTGTAAAACGCGCATTCTCACAGCGCTGGCCACGGTTTTCTTGTTGATTGAAGTACCGCCAAAAGGGAATCGCGGAGAATACGCCGACTCCGTTTGAAACGATCCAGATCAGAAGCTGAGAATAGGCCTTGAAGGACCTTCCACGTGCACACGGAGAAAAATCACTGGTCGCTCATGGGAGCGGTATTCTATCAGTTTTTGAGGAGGGTGAGATCATTAACTTATCTACACGAAACTACAGTAACTACACAAAACCAGCACGGGAAGCTCCCATGTCCGCAGGTCAAAGACCTCTGGCTGGGTTTCCCCTGCTGCTCTTCCAGTTGTTGAGCTCTTGCGGCGGCCTCACGCCTGACACAGACCCCGCTGGTGAAGAAAAAAAGCTTCACATAGTTTCACACTGGCCAGGCTACTTGCAAAAAGGAAGAAACACTAAACCTGAAAGCAAACTAAAACAGACCACAACCACCGGAACTCGGCCATCCAGGCTGCCCCCGCTGGAAGTCCGTGTGCTGCTTTTCGAGCATGGCCAACTGGCAAGCGCGCCAGTCCGGGATTTGCATATTAAATTCTAAATTACTATAGGACCAGCGATTGCACTGAGACTATAGGGCCTACTTGAAGGGTCTGTCCCGGGATGGACCCCTCAATCTATGGAATCCGAAGTTCCCACTCCGTCTGGGCCCCAAGTACTTCCCGAAGTCCAAGTTCCCGAAGGCCTTGGCATCGAAGTCCGCCTGAGCCTGCCGACCTCACACAGCACGACCGTCGTGCCGCGGTGTCATGGCGAACCGAGCGGCTCACGCGAGGCGGGTGGAGCGTAACGCGCCGGTGGAAGTCCATCTGTCCTCTGATCCTGCACAGATGCCCCGCATGTTCTGCCATATATAGGCCGTGTAGATAGGATGATCAAATCCCTCATGTGCTGGTGAGTTCCGGCAAGTCGAAAGCCCCCCAAAAGCACATAGATTCAACGCAACTCCGTGAACCGGGTGACCTGCGACGCTTCGCGGCTTCGACCAGCCAAGTTCGAGAATCTAGGAGAGCACCGCCTAGATAAGCTCATAGAGAGGCAAGCACCATCATCTTCCACCCGAGGCACCCATGAAGCTGAAAGGGCCGGCCCCCTGCCCGGCCCGCCCAGCCATGCCTCTCCCCCCCACATGCATGACTGGCCCAAGGGTCTCTGAGCCACGCTGGAGGACTCCGAGGACTCTTTCGCCCGTCGTGTCTGGGCGAGCGGCGGTGCGAAGCGGTGCGAGCTGCCGGGGGCGGGTTCGGCTTCGGTGGCTGTGGACGTGCCCAGTGGGAAGGCGGAACATGGCCTAGATATGCGGAAGCCTAAATATGCAGCCATCGATGTTCATCTATCCTTTCCAATTCACCCGAAAGAAGGGTACTTGGCGCTCACCGAGTTTAATTTTCCATATGCCTCCCGAACCACCCCAAAGATCAACAGTCTCAGTCTGAGCTTCTTTTCCGATGAACATCCGAGCGCACGCCCTGGGCATGCCCTCACATGCACCACTCGTGACAGGCGCGCTGGATACGTGGGCACCCCGGATCAACCCACACCAAATCCACATCGGATCGAGGCCCTCTCAGCAGACCATCGCCTCCTGCAAGAGTTCTTCGACCCTTTGCTTCTCCTCCTTCTGTGCTTCGGTCGCCTGGCTGGAGCGAAAAACCAGCTCTGCTGTTCGAGCGAGCTGCGCAGTGGTGGAGAGTTCAGCTGCAAAGTCATGGAGATACACATAGCATCCGATAAGTTTCGTCAGTTTCCCGCGTCAGCGAATGAATTGCAAAGAGCCACCTACGGCACCTAGAGCCCTAGAGCAATTGGTAGTTCTGACCTGGTCTTCAAAGGTCACGTGTAATGTCCTAGCAGCAGCAGCAGCAACAACAACAACAATAACTTGATGTCAACAGTTATTTGGGCAGCAGTTTTTCTTCAGCCCTGCTGGCGTTTTTTCGGCCAAGCATCTGCACGAGCAGATGCCAGCTGCATTTGCAGCTCCGCTTCGGCTGCTCTGCCACGTTCTCGCTCCTGCTCCAGCTCCTTCGCGAAAGCTGTGGAACAAGACACTTGAGGGCACCCACTGACTCAAAAGGATTCAAAAGGCCTTGCACTGAGAAGTTCATCTGAAATGATCCAGACGGATGAAGTTGCCCGCTCATGTGCCTTGGGCCAAGTTCTTTGAAACGGGCACGAGAACTTGGGCTCCGTGTTTGGTGGAGAGAGCTTTGAGTTGGAACTTCTTCGAAGCCCTAATTAGGGCTCATAAGACCTCATAAGACTTGGCAAAGTGAATCAAGTGCCTTCGAGAGGCCGTAGGTTGGCAACCTGCCGGACTGAGTCACCTTCCAAATGTCAATGAAGTGACTTCGAAAGGCCGTAGCTTGGCCACCGAAATCGGGGCCTTCCCCTCCCCATGCCCCTCTGGGTCCTGCTGAAGGCCTCAGGGAGGCAAAAGGGCTAAGTAAATCCTTATCATCCCTCAGCCCGTGGAAGGGCGGGAAAATCTCTATCCTTGCAACACGAAGACCATCTTGGAAGTCATGAAGCTCCATGAAGTCATCAAGTTCATGATGTTTGGGTACGGGTGCAGTATATGGCTGTGGGTCAAAGACCCCCAGGCACCCTAATTGTTGACCATTGAGAATGAACGCCTCAAAAGATGCCAGCCTACCATGAACATGATTAAACCCACACCCATACCCCATTGCCAGTCACAATGGATGGTGATGGTTAGTAATCATTGATGCTTCATGATCTCCGTTCCAAATTCCCAAGACGGCCCTGCACTAGGCCTTGGATGTGAGAATATTCACAGGGGGATGCTTCCTGGCTCAGCATGTCACCCCTGATCTTGAAACCACCAGACAGCCTGCTGCATCCGAGAGGCGATTCTGCGAGTCCTGCATCTCCTGCTGCTTCTGCTGCGCTTGGTCATGGAACTCCGCGGAAGACTCGGACAGCTCCTGTGGCGGTGACATCCATCAGCGAACGGTCACCCAAAACCGAAGTCCATCCAATCGCGAACGGTGCCACAAGAGGAATGTTGATGTTCTTGCATCATGATGTAGACTCTTGATTAAACCCACCCAATTGAATGCACGGACTTGCGGACGGTCTGTCAAGACGCGCGCGCGCCCACACCCCCCTTTCTCAGGTTTTCCGAGAGGTTGGGGTGGGCATGGTGTGAAAAGTCAGGAGGATATGTCATGTACAGGTGGAAAGAGACATCCATATGGTATGTACAATCTACGACGAACGAAACGGCCAAAGCATGGAGGTAATGCAGAAGGACAAAGGCAACTACGCAAACTTGATAGGTCTCTTAGCACCCCTAAGCACAGGTATCTCCTGAGAATAATTACTAATTTAATTTGGATCCGGGAAACTAATTAAATCCAAGCTCTTTTTGCGTGCCATATGATTACAAACCAAACGGGAGAACCCTTCCCTTTGAGGGAGTGGAATCTCTGGCCAATCTGGCCATGTCGGTTGTTCTGAGATGGCAGGAATCTCGGACCCAATTGAATTGGACATCCCCTTCATATTGGGGGTTACTAATCAAGAGTCTACACTAGAAAGTTCAAGTGTCATGCTGTATGCCCAAAATTCCTGTGTATCTGCCTGTGCTGGATTCCTGGCGGTGCGATGTTTTATCTGGCGCGATGTCCTGCGCGATAAGCCGCGATGTGCTAGCCAAAGAGCTTTCTGAGAAGAAACCCGAAAACGAGGACCTCTCTTAAACGACACCATCTTCTCCCATCCCCTCTCGTCACCCTCAACCCTCGCGACGCCCCGATCGGTCCTTGATCTGCTGTTCCTTTAGAGCCAGCTTTTCAGACTCATTCTGCAAAGAATTGGAGAGTTCCTGCAGTCACAACTCCAAGCGTCCAGTTCGCTGAAGGCGAGCCATTCCCTGTTCAATCTCTGGTTTGGAGCTTATGGCAAGACCACCCACAGCACTCTGGGCCCTCCAGTTACCAAAGAACAACAGGCGAAAAGTCCGGGAATCAATTCAACTGGATCTGACCCAGTCTGTGTGGCTCTTCTAGCATCTCAGAGAGCATACACCTGGGCAAATTGAGTTCACATGGAACCTGAACAGTCCCCGCAAGGACCCGCTTCGGAAGACCCTGAACTCCGAAGACCAGCTCAATCAGCAGAAGTCACACCCCCGTGATGAGATAGAACTGCAGGGGAAAAACTGCTGTCATCTTTCTTTCTCAGACGGTGCTTCTGCGTCTTCAGCTTGGAGGGCCGCCCTCCCGTGGCGCCTGGAGTTCGGCCGACCTGGGGTCAGAGATGGAGCCGAAAACATGGTCTCGATCACATGAAACACCCAAGAAACATACTAACATGCACTATAACCTATAATAAGATATACATATACTATACTATATTGTAACATACATATACTATATACATATACATATACTGTATACATATCATCTAATACTATATATATACATACCAGCAGCGCACCCTCCAACAGGTCTCCTCCGGTAGCTTTTGCAGACTTAAAAGTTTTAAAAGTCGCAGGTGGTGACCTGTTGGAGGGTGCTGGTATATATGTATACGTATATGTCTCTCTGTCTATTATATACACTATTATGTACTATAACATAATCTATATACGTAATTTTACAAGTGTGTTGAACCGAAAGAACACCATAAGATTTTCTACAGATAAACGTTAGAGATCGTTAGAGTATATAGGTGGAAATGGTCCGGCAGCTGCTACAGTGAGGCCCCATGGGCAATCGAGCTCAAAGAAATACACCTCGCACACTGCCATGGAATCTGAAAAAAATGCGATTTGTATGATTCGTAGGTTTGCAAGTGTAAAACACATCTCCTCTTGATTGAGTCTTGAGTCTTGAGTGCGTTCCTGGGAGTTCCGAGCTGTCTTTGGATTTCCTGATCTTTGGCAGAAGCTTCTCGCCTGCAGCATGTCAGTCGTCGTCATGGACTCAACACCGAACCTGGCGCCTGGCAATGGGTGACTTGAAACCAGGAAATAGACCCTCCCTGAAACAATGAATCATGGAATACAGCCTGTTCGTAGAGGAAAACCGTCTTCCCAGGGGCCATGTTCCATGCTCCATGTTTGTTGGATGGAGGGTAAGCATATACATCAGCACATGAGCCCTAGTGGAATTAACTGCCCAGAAAGCCATTGAGCAGCCGCACTCCATCTCCTCTCGCTGCTTGTCCAGCATCGCCAACTGCCAGGCTACGCAAGTTGGAAGTCCACCCATCCTACAGTATTTGGGGGCATGCATGAAACCAGAAACGCTTTCTTTCTGGCTTCCTTGTGGGGTTCTCCAGGAGTGCGAAAAAGCATTAGTTTGTGGCTCACAGGGCTTCTTCCTTAGCACCAAATCTGCGCAGACCGCAGACCGCTCGGGTCAGGACGGGTCAGGAGTCCAACACGACCCACGCCTGCGTCTCGAAGTCTGCCTGCGCTTGCTGGCCTGACCCGCGCCACCCGTTCCCAGAGTCCATGCAGCG